GCTACCACCAAACCACTAAGGGCAGCTACCACCAAACCACTAAGTGCAGCTACCACTAAACCACTAAGGGCAGCTACCATCAAGCCACTAAGGGCAGCTACCACCAAACCACTAAGGGCAGCTACCACCAAACCACTATAGCCCCAGTAAGTCCCTCACTTCTCCATGCTGCGGTCGTCGCAGGACATGACCAGGTCCTGTAGAGTCAGCGTCTCTCTGCAACAATCCGCTGCTGGAGGGATAGATGGCAATTCTGAGTTGTGGCAGCAAATGCAGTTAATTCAATATAAAGAGACGTAGATATTATTCTATCTGTTATGGAACCAGATTTATGTATAAGCAGATAAATGGCATTTCATATTATCAAAGTATTATATTGAACTTTACTTGAATTGAAATAATCATAAAGTATTTCCTCGTAACAACATACATGACAAGCCCCAGCTAACGCAAAAGGTTCCTCAGTTCCACCATTGCTTGCAGGTTCCTATATGTAATATCACAACCATTCTGTACCTCAAGCTATAAATAACAACTTTAATTTGCAACAACTATTGCTGACTATGCTGAGAGTATCTAAAATTGTTAGCTCTAGTTAATGCTAAAGCTACCAAAAACTAAATTATGTACTCTAAATTTTCTTCATTGCAAACTTTTTTCAAGTTTCAATCTTCTTACATCATTGCCACTGCCCTAGCCATTAGAATCAATTGCTAGAACCGAATATAAATGAACTCATGATGGATCAATTTGGGTTATAATATAAAAAAGCTAACCAAAAATACAGGTATTTTATACAAAAAAATTCTAAAAAATTTGAAGTAAAAATGCAATGCCAAGTGAGCATAAAGAGGCCAAGCCAATTATAAATATAAAATTAGCTCCCTAGAGTTAGGGGTTTAATTTTTTTTAACTAATAAATTAGAGAAAATAACTAAATTTCATTACTTTACTATATATCACTCATTATATTACAGTACACGTGTTGGAAATTTCACCTCCATCTTTGGAAGTTTGCTCAATTCCTTGAGTTTTGTCAGAGTTCTTGCCCTGATGTCTCTCCCAGAGCTGCAGGAGGGTGCGGGGAGGGATGGACCCTGAGAGATGGGCGTGCAGCTCCTGTACATGGTGGCACAGAGTCCTATGAGTAGTCCAGTCAAGTATCTTGAGTCCTATGAGTAGTCCAGTCAAGTATCTTGAGTCCTATGAGTAGTCCAGNCACACCGTCCACCACCTGCAGGAGCTGGAGGACAGTGTCCAGGGTGTCCGCGGCCTCGGCCACGCCCTGCGCGCGGTCCAGGGACACCAGCAGCCGCACCTGCAGCGCCCCCCACCCCCGCCTGGGGGGGACATGCTCGTTGTGGCGTAGGGAATGTAATTACCTCATAAAATGGGTGAAAATAGTACATATATTAACTCATTTTCAGTTAATTGAAAGTTATTCAAATGGAAATTATTCAGTTTATTGAATTTATTCAAAAAGATGCGAAGGAACTCTTTGCTGAGGGACGTTAGCTAAAGTTGAACAGCGACTAGCATCCGAAAATTTATATATGGATGACGATGGCCGTAAAAAATGCATACACAGCGACACTGATACCAGCAAAAATATGGTGGAACAGCAAACAAGAACAATGGAACTTACGGGCCTCCTGTGTCGGCTGAAGGCAGCGAATAAATGATGTAGAAATGAATAATTGAGATTTATTGAACTAATGATGGAGATTTTATGAATTACCGTATTAATGGAGATTCTATTAATTAATTGAGCGAAAGTCCGTCAATCTTATGAGGAGACAAGATTGGCGGAGTGAACCTTATGAATATTAGTTAATTAGTGAATACAACCTAACTGAGACTGCTGCCTACGTGACCTGCGGGACTGAACACAAGAGAAACAAGAAGATAACGGACAAATTGATGTTAGCAAAGAACGTAAAGGAACAATGGTGGTGTGATGTGGTGTGTGGTGTGATATGGTGAGGTACTCACCGCACCACATCCATGACTGTGGTGAGGTAGTGATGCTTGGTAGTGCCAGGGAACCTCCGTGGTGTGGTGCGCCTGTCTCTTATACACATCTAGATGTGTATAAGAGACAGCCACCACCCCGTCCACCATCAACATTCCGTCCACCATCAACACCCCGTCCACCATCAACACCCCGTCCACCATCAACACCCCGTCCACCATCAACACCCCGTCCACCATCAACACCCCGTCCACCATCAACACCCCGTCCACCATCAACACCCCGTCCACCATCAACACCCCGTCCACCATCAACACCCCGTCCACCATCAACACCCCGTCCACCATCAACACCCCGTCCACCATCAACACCCCGTCCACCATCAACACCCCGTCCACCATCAACACCCCGTCCACCATCAACACCCCGTCCACCATCAACACCCCGTCCACCATCAACACCCCGTCCACCATCAACACCCCGTCCACCATCAACACCCCGTCCACCATCAACACCCCGTCCACCATCAACACCCCGTCCACCATCAACACCCCGTCCACCATCAACACCCCGTCCACCATCAACACCCCGTCCACCATCAACACCCCGTCCACCATCAACACCCCGTCCACCATCAACACCCCGTCCACCATCAACACCCCGTCCACCATCAACACCCCGTCCACCATCAACACCCCGTCCACCATCAACACCCCGTCCACCATCAACACCCCGTCCACCATCAACACCCCGTCCACCATCAACACCCCGTCCACCATCAACACCCCGTCCACCATCAACACCCCGTCCACCATCAACACCCCGTCCACCATCAACACCCCGTCCACCATCAACACCCCGTCCACCATCAACACCCCGTCCACCATCAACACCCCGTCCACCATCAACACCCCGTCCACCATCAACACCCCGTCCACCATCAACACCCCGTCCACCATCAACACCCCNCTACCACCTAACCACTAAGGCTGTCTCTTATACACATCTAGATGTGTATAAGAGACAGCACCTCACACAACATCACCACACACCACATCACCACATCACCACACACCACACACCACATCACCACACACCACATCACCACACACCACATCACCACATCACCCACACGACGTTGTCCTCCTGGAAGGCCTGCAGGACAGCGGCGGTCGCGGTGGCCAGGGCGGCCAAGTCGTCCACGACGCGATGGACCAACGCGAACAACGCGAAGCCCCTGCAACACACGTGACCAGTCATGTATCATGGGTACCAGCATAACAAAATTGTTGTGTATATATTGAAAAAAATTAGGAAGTAGATCAGCTTATTAAAAATAAACTGGTTCAAAGAAATTTCTGTTTGGATACTTAAATGGCAACATAGCTTCATGTAACTTGATGAATTTATGTCATTTAATAAATAATTCACTATGAAAGTAATGAGATACTTCCCTTGATTTTCCTTCTGTACCGTCAAATAAACATTTTGACTACCAACTATTTGCAAAATTCGTGATAAAGCCATTACCTAGACAGCCATCTACAATAACCCATGAGGCTATACAAGTAAGGACAATGGCTTGGAAATTACAGATCTAAGGACTTCTAACTCCAGGCTGAAATGCTTATAATAAACCACCACACAGCAACTGCGGTAGAGGAAATATTTGACACCACTCACAAGTGGTGACCACACCTCCCCTCCTCCCCTCTCACAAGTGGTGACCACACCTCCCCTCCTCACCTCTCACAAGTGGTGACCACACCTCCCCTCCTCCCCTCTCACAAGTGGTGACCACACCTCCCCTCCTCCCCTCTCACAAGTGGTGACCACACCTCCCCTCCTCACCTCTCACAAGTGGTGACCACACCTCCCCTCCTCACCTCTCACAAGTGGTGACCACACCTCCCCTCCTCCCCTCTCACAAGTGGTGACCACACCTCCCCTCCTCCCCTCTCACAAGTGGTGACCACACCTCCCCTCCTCACCTCTCACAAGTGGTGACCACACCTCCCCTCCTCCCCTCTCACAAGTGGTGACCACACCTCCCCTCCTCCCCTCTCACAAGTGGTGACCACACCTCCCCTCCTCACCTCTCACAAGTGGTGACCACACCTCCCCTCCTCCCCTCTCACAAGTGGTG